TGGAGTAATAGGCTTCGCTAATAAAGCATTCCGGTAAAGCTAAAGTGCAGAAGAATGCGAGGAAGAAGAAAACGGAAATTACTATGCTTTTCCATCGGACTTCCGTTTTCTTGTTCCCTGCACCGGAATGCTTTATCGCTCTGCCAACAATCTGTGAAAATCAGAACTTTCAAGGAATATCTTTATAGAACATCAGAAGTTTCATTTCCCTAATTTTAGAATAATAAGTCCCCCATTAATGCTATTAGCATGGCAAATAGGATATTTCAATGGGGTATTCCGCTGCAAGCCAACCGGAATCCAAAGGAGAAAAGCATGACTGCTCGATCTGTTTCCCTCTGCGCGCTCATTGGCTGACCGCCACAGCCACGCCATCTTTGGCCAATCAGCGTTCAGGAGGAAACAGATCGGGTAGTCATGCTTTTCTTCTTTAGGTTCCGATTTTGTTGCAGCGGAATGCCCTATTAAGCGCTGGCCGGAACTGAGAAGAACAACAAGCTAGGCCTGAAACTTTTTCGGTCAGTGGAGTAATAGGCTTCGCTGATCGCTCAGCCAAAAACCTAAAAAAATGCACATAAGCGGACGTGAATCGCTGGGAATCAAGGATTTCGGGAATAGCATTCCGGTAAAGCTGAAAAGGAGAAGAATGCGGGAAACAACAAAACGGAAATCGCAATGCTTGCACATGGTGACTTCCGTTTTCTCGTTCCCCACCTTCTTCTGCATTTCGGTGTTACCGGAATGCTTTATTCGCCAGTGTTGCGCGCCTCTTCACAGATACGCCACTTCTGCAGGCATACGTCGTTTTGTTCTTAGTTCCGGGCAACGCTCCATTGAAATACCCTATTTGAGGGGCAAAAGACCTTAACAAAGCATTCCGGTAGAGATGTAATGCAGAAGAATGTGGGGAAGACGAAAACGGAAATCGCTATGCTTCAGCATGGTGACTTCCGTTTTCTTGTTCTCTGCATTCTTCTGCATCTCACCTTTCCGGAGTGCTATATTCCGTATATTCTCCTGTTAATAGACGATTTTAGGTCGGGTGGTTAGAAGAAGAAAAGAATAACGAACCAGAAAAGCACTGCCTTCTAATCGCCCCTCGCCCAACTGTTTCCAGTTTCGGTTATTCTTTACTTCTTCTTTGTCACCGACACTGAAATGGACTATTTGTCTCGGGTATCAGCGTCAGGCGCGTTGCAGCGCAACAGTGTTTCGTGAGATATCGCGAAGCCTGTTACGCGAGACGTGGTCTGGCGAACATATAGCTAGTTTTAGAGAAATAAGTCCCCCACGAATGCTGTTAGCAAGGCAAATAGGGTATTCCGGTTAAGCTTGGCGCCGGAAATGGGAGGCGAAGAGGGCGCTGGTCCGCTCTCAGCCTCATGGCTTCAGTATCCGTGCGTCTGCTTTTCCATTGCTCAGTCGCGTTTGTTAGCCACGACATCTTGCTTCAGATTATTACGAGTACG